AACCTATACTATACAGATTAAACCTAACCTATACTGTACAAATTAAACCTAACCTATACTACACGGATTAAACCTAACCTATACTGTACAGATTAAACCTAACCTATATTCTACAGATTGAACCTAACTTATACTATAAAGATTAAACCTAACCTATACTATATAAATTAAACCTAACCAATACTGTACAAATTAAACCTAACCTATACTATACAGATTAAACCTAACCTATACTATACATTACTACATATACATAACACGTATTATACATAACCTATACTATAAATACTATTACTACACTAACCTATACAGATTAACAATGAATTCAGCAGTTTCAACAATTTTATTACAACGAATAATAAAACTGACCATTTCAGGATAGCAGTGATAACTATATCAAGACTGTTGCACTGGTTAATCGTACAACAAGACGTATACGCCATCTTGTGAGAAAAAGTTCAATTAAATATTTAATGAAATATCGATGTATTGGCATGTGATATGAAAGTTACACGAGCCTATAGAGGTTTTATATATATATTTATATATTCGTGTGTTCATTTCTCAATGTATATATTCATTTTTGGTGAGATTATTGCAGATGTTTCTAACCTATGAATCCGATTCCGTGCATAATGAAAGTGCAACTGAATTTCATGTTGTTTCGCCGAGGAATAATGCGAATGGTTGGATAATGCAGAGAGCGAGTTTTTTAGCTTCTATTTCTCCTTTTGATATCTCTTCATTTTCTTCCGCAGCAAACAATTGCGAATTTCCTTTCAATTCCGAGACGAGATTTCAGATAACCTAGGTGAATTTTAATATTTAATTTTCTGATAGCCGAGAGGGCTAACATTAATAGATAACATTTAATCTCAAAACAACAATTATTGTTCAATTTTAGATAGAAATTCTTTGTTGCGTATTTTTGCAAAAATTTTAACTCTCCATTGCCGAGGCAAAGCCCACTCAGAGACACCCGCTATACGTATATTCTGTTTAACAAACATAACACCATAAAGTTTCATTAACGCAAGTTAAAGTCAAATTAAGAACGGGCCATTTTATTCTGTTATGTTCGTCAGAGAAATGCGTAATAAAGATAAATCAAAAGGAAGAATTGCCAGATACATTCTACATTTGCGAGTAAATTAAGCGGAAGAGTAGAATCTTCGTAGATTCCACTCGGCGGGCTCTTTTCATTCTAACACAAGTGAGAATGTCACAGTAGTAGATTCATTCGCCATTCTACAATCTATATACTGGCCAGGTTTGTTATGCTCACTTGGAGAAAATTTTTTGTAAAAATCGTTGCAAAAGAATTGTTACAAGAATAAATTTGAATACTAAAGAAAACGTAAAGTGATAACAAATTCTTACAAATGGCAAGAATATACACATATGTATATATTCTATATATATGTATATATGTATATATTTTGTACATGTATATATGTATATAT